GTTTTGGACATACTGCTTTTTAATCACACCGAAATAGAAACTAATCGAGTGAGGAAAGATCGGTCACATAGGGTGTTGTATCAGACAGATTTATGGAACAAAAACATCAACAAACAAAGAAGCTAACAGTCATTATTACACAATGGCAGGCAGGAGAGCACCAAGCCGAATGAAGTGACAGCAGCAGATTATACAGCGTGAGAATGCAGGGTCCCGGACCTGGAAACATACCCCGCCCAAGTGTGACATCTACAAGTGTGACATCAGCAGTCATGGAGAGTCTCCATCCAGCTGGATCACTGTCACAGGTGAGGAGCTTCACTCTGATTTTTACCTTATTTTTTATCCACATATTGACCTGAACAGGTGGGATTTTCTCTGCAGAAAAACCCACCACCACATCTCTACCCCCTGACTCCTCCCTCCAGCTTCTGATCAGAGTGGTCCTCTGTGTGGTGGTGTTCTCTCCATACTTCCTCTCCACTCTCCTCCTGGTGTCATTATATCAATGCAGAGCCAGAGGTAACGCTCTGAATCCTTCACTGATCAATCAATATGACTAGCATCTCTCTCTGTCTGAACTCTTCACATATTCACACACATTTTCTCTATTTTCTTGCTAGAGAGCCATCACACTCAGACCGAACAGGGATTGGATGATGACTATGAATACATTTGTGATGTCATCACACAGTATCAACCCTGAATTTCTCCTCTGATGTTCCCAGCTGTGATCAGATCTGCTGCATTTACTCGTTTTGTAGTTTTTTTTAATCACTTCATGTTTAAAAGTGGAGAAGAACATCTGCCAACACAGACAGCACATCTGTTCTTTGTTATGGTGTTTTCAAAACATCATCAGCTGCTTATCAGCTACACACACCTGATTCTTTCAGCTTTGAGACTCACTGTAATGGTGACTGATGAACTGCCAGGTTTCAGTGCACTTGAATAGTATTTCTGGGTCCTTTTACAAACATTCAGCTCAAAGTGAAATAAGACAACTGTCTCATCCACCACAGGAAACCTCAGTTTACAGGTACTGAACCGGAGAAACACTCATGCCCTCTCGCTGCCTCTCACTGAGGGAAACTCCAGTCTAGGTCCAGCCCGTCTATAGGAGACTGCTTCCAGGAGCTGAGCTGTGAGTTTAATGATACATTACACTCCTCCTGACTGTATGAGGCTGCTTACACACTTTCTCTAGGCTCTTTTGTCACCACAGAGATTACGTTCCCAATCTTATGACCTGTTTCAGCAGGATCTTAAGAGGCTGTAGGGAGAAAGGCAGATACTTGTCTGTGTGATGACACAGGGCCAAACACAGCCTAAAAGATCCTGCCTCATGTTTTCTACATCAATTTTCTATATAAGTTAAATACAAATTAAGCAGACATTTTTTTGTTAAAGCAGTTCATTTTACCAGTTTAAACATTTGACGATTTTATTTTCTACAGTGATTAAAAGTTGTGTTTCTGAGATTTGCAAATCATTGCATTATGTGATTCTTTGCATTTTACATGGGATCCTGTTTTTGGAAATGGGATTATAAAACTATTTTGGCTACAGTTTTTGATTAAAGTGATTTTATCATCTGTACTAATGAAGTTACGAAGCCTCCAACATGATGGAAAAAAATTGTGAAAGGTGGTCAAATTTTGACCCACCCTGTGTACTTTTAGCATATACCGTGACCTGCCAGTGAGAGGCAAAGAAGCAAAGAGTAGTCACCAGATCTAACTAAACATGGTCATAATTCCCAATCCAGCTGGCATCTACTGTGGAAAAATAAACTGACCATTGAAACCAAAACTGATATCCTCAGATTTATTGATCCATTTGCAAAGGAATCAATGCAGGATGAAAAGAAGAGAAAAAAACTCATGAGTGGATAGAATCAGCTGTAGGAAGGGTTTTTTTGTTTGTTTGTTTGTCGTAGTCATGTAGGTACCTGCCTTATACAGTGAGGTTAAATAAGATGAAATACAATTTTGCCCACAGTGTCAAGAGACACAAACTTACTAACTGCTGAAAAGAAGCTGATGTTAATACAATTTTGATTCTATCAGGACACAAAATGTTTGTAAACAAGCCAACAACACTTGTCACACACAGCTGTGTACTTGGAGCTGATACAAATGCAAAGTTCATTTACATCTTGATTACATGGTTTAGTCAAGTCCTCCATGCTTTCTTTCAGTCCTTCTCTTGCTCTCTCACTCACACACCTGCATCCGCACATGTATGAAAACATAATTGAATAATTCTGCTCAGAATGAGGCGCGTCTGTTCAACTTTGTGCTACTGTGGTTATCCTCGGTCATTAGGAGAAGCTTACACCACGGGATCGAGCTGTAACAGATGCAGTTCATTTTATATGTAGTGTGATAGTAGATGAGTTAAATATTATGAGGATTCTCTGAAAAAGGACAAAAATCGTTACAGCATAAATATGGAATAAAAATTATTGGAACGGGCCTCTTTACAGTCCGATTAAAGAAGCGCACCATTCTTAAATGTACTGCACAAACTCTATTCGCAACAATTCTCAAAACCACCACAAGATGGCACTGTAACACAAGGAATGAACTCATCCCTGATCGAGCAGGTCTGCAATCACACCCACCAATCAACCTACAACCGGTAAAATGGTTCCGATACCACATTTACCACCATTGTGAGATCTTGCCTCATCCTGTCATGTGACCTACTGAGATCAGCTGTTGCAGGATGTGATCAAGATCTCAAAGCTGGGTTGTAGGTGGCGGACAGTCGGTGTTGTGAGCCGCCTCCTCTGTTCAGAGATGGTCGTTCACAGATGGTTCATCCCAAGGACAAAACTCCCAAACACAAGCCAGTCAACATAGTGTGTGCTGTGCAGTACAGCGAGGAGTGCTCAGACCTCTACACTGGCGAGACCAAACAGCCACAAAACATAGAAGCGCCACCTCGACAGGGCAAGACTCAGCTCTACATCTGCACCTAAAGGTCAAAGGTCACACTTTCAAGGATGCCGATGTTCACGTTTTGGACAGAGAGGATAGATGGTTTGAAAGTAAAGTAGTAGAAACAGCATATCTAACAATAATACAACGATATATCTCAGAGTGTTTGTTGCAAGCCAGGCTGGTGTTAATCTGCTCGTACATGCACTGGATTCATTCACATATCCTTTATTGCACATGACCAAGTGTAAAACATTTTGCTGATGTTACCGATTCATCAATCCTGAAAATTTCTTATAAAAACTTTGTTCTTTATACTAATAGTTTAAAAAAAAAAGTAATCTATGATCGATTCTCATGATGTTATCCACTGTTAATGACAAAATACAGTAAATAGTCCAACATCTTACTTTTTCTTTTTTAATTCACATTTTATATTTTTCAAAGTCATCCAGTGGACTAGTGATGGCCGTCAAGGCTTATATTTGGCCTTCTTTCCATATAATGTAACCTTCCTTCTCAACAGTATTTTAAGCCTTTAAAAATGCAAAAAACATGTAAAATATAAAAATAAAATGTAAAATAAAAAATATGTAGGACAAAAATATCAAAATGTAAAATTCAGAATTTATAATAGCTCAGTGATATTTGATGGTGACTAAAAAAGGCAGCAGATAACAATGTAAACAAACATGTATGTTGAGCAGGAAACTTCAGATAATCACAAACACAAACATAACTTAATGTTTCCTCCAGGTGCTAAATTCCAGTTTAATTGTGCATCATTAACTTCTGTCTGTCCTCAGCACATCTGTCACTGTGAATGCTGAGTGGGTGGGTGGAGTGAATATACACTGTGATATTTCCATCTGTGGCTGCAGTTCAACAGACGGCTAAAACAACAAAACAGCAGCAGCAAGCACAACGGAAATCGACATGTCAACTTCTGCACCATCAGATCCACTCCTCTGGTCTTTGTCCTTATCGAGTACTGTCTGAGCTGCAGGTGAGAAACAGGTGTGAGGTGTCAGCTGTCAGGTAGGTGATGAGTGAAGAACAGAACAGAATCCATTTCCTCTTCAAACTGCTGTCAGACATTATCTACTGCACTCTGATCACATCACTCAGACCAGCTGCTTTCTACAAAGTCTCATCAACAACATCTTTAGAAACAAACATCAACAACCAGGAAACAGCTCAACTTCACACTCACCTTCTTTTACCTTCAGGTTGATGCTCTTCAAAAGCTGAGGTCTCTGTCTGTGGTATCCAGCATAACATTCATATTTTCCAGCGTCGTTCATGGTGACATTTTTGAGAATCACAGAAAAGTTTCCATTCTTCATCTCTGGATCTTTCAGCTCCACTCGACCTTTAAATGATTCATGCTGTTTGTCTTTGTGAATGTGTTCATCGCTGAAGTAAAACACATAATACTCTGACTGCAGGTCAGGCTTTTGCCAGCTTATCATTATGTTAGCATCACCGGGGCCATAGCACTCCAGAGTTACATCCTTTGCTTGTTTGACTGTTAGCTCTAAAATAAGAAGAAAACAGGTCAGTCATAAAGATAATATGCATCCAATAATTCAAACACGCTTATTATTGTGCTTCAAATATCAGAAACCTGAGTTTTTATTTTTGTGTAAATTCTGTG